TTAAAAAGATTTTTAAAAAGAAAAAGGGGGCCTTTTAAAAGAAAATTGGCTCAATTGATAGAGTGCTTGCCTACCATGTACAAGGCCTTTGCTGTAACCCCCAGCACTATATAAACTGGCCCATACCTAGGAGCTAGATGGGAGAATCAGTAAGTTCAAGGTTGTCCTTAGCTACAAAACCAGCCAGAGGCCTGTGTGGGCTAGAGACTGTCAGAGAAAAGAGAAGGGGGGAATATAAATAGAAAAAAAGAAGAAAAGGGCAAAAAAAGAGAAGCTCAGATCCTGTGATGACTCTGGAAGAGTGATGACAAGGATCCCATGCCTGAACACCATTGTGTACCTCTTGGTGTGCCCTGCTGTGTATCTCTGGCAGCCCTCGCTTCCTCACTTCCTTGGTAACCACATAGTAGGCTCTTGTGGTCTTCCAGTAATGCAGCCTGTGAATGGCAGTCACTGCAATCCCTGCAACCACCCTGGGAGGCATAGGAGGCTGGTTCAGGTCAGGCATCTCAGCATGTGTGGTGTGGTGTGGTGTGGTGTGGTGTGGAGTGGTGTGGTGTGGTGTGGTGTGCTGTATGTGTGTGTGTGTGTGTGTGTGTGTGTGTGTGTGTGTGTGATGTGGTGTGTAGGGGTGGTGGTGAATTTGTGTCCTACTGAGAATTACCACCAGAGAGAGACAGAGAGAGAAAAACAGAGACAGAGAGACAGAGACAGAGAGAATTTGAACCAGGATCTGACTCCAAGCCAGCATCCTTCCTCCACTGTATAGCACAAAGAACCCTACACACACACACACACACACACACACACACACACACACACCCTTGTCACAGATACTGGACTCTATTTTCAAAAACTGGCAGCAGGATGTCTGGTCAGGTGCTGTTGACTGCAGGCCATCTGATGCCCAACCGGGCTGTGGGGCTGAGGCTGGAACATATGGGTGCCTGGGTTCAATTAGGAGCTGCCACCTAACCTGGGCTTCAAACTCCCTCTGGGGAGAAACTGTGGGCTCTGTAGGCCCCTGCCAGAGCTCAGAGCTGGTAGCAAGATAGGGGCAGTGTGTGCATGAAAATGCATTTTAAGCTTGGGAGGGACCCTTTCCATCTCTGCTAAGCAGGACTGGCCTTCTCCTGCCCACACAGATGGGGCTGCCACATGGGCTCAGCATCTCCAGGGGCTGTGTAGTCCCTGGAGCCACAGTTTATAGCACAGATCCTAACAATCTTGGTCCCCATCCTCTTACTGTTCTTGCCCCAAACTCCACACATGATATCAAGCTTCAGGGTCTTCATTCCCAGATAACACTCCTCCGCCACCCTCCTGGAGAGTTATGGGTAAAGGGCAAGTATCTAGTAGACACTTAGGAGGTGGTGCCTGCTATTGTGATTATGAGTCCCTGTGTCTCTGGAGTGGTGGTATCTCAGAGCACAGGCCTGCTAGAACCCCTGCTGAGCCCCTGCCTGGGTTGGAAACCCTGCCTCCATGGGAGGGAGCTCATAACCGGAGTGCTCCTGCCAACCCCTCCCTCCTAGCTTGGCAGCCTGAAGACAAAGCTGGCCAAAAATATTTGTGTGGGTGGCGGAAAGTTAACTTTTCCGCCTCTCTCTTCTTTCCTGGAAACACAGGCCACTGTCAAATACAGCAAAACAGAAGCAGAGATGGAGCAGGCGAGGCCCCCACAGGGAGTCAGAGAGCTCTGCCCCCGCCCTTCACCCACTCTTGCTGCCTCCTGCCATCTGGTTCTGTGACAGGATAGGGGTGGGTGGCTCTGAGTACTGAAAATCATGGAACTGTGATGCCGGAGTCCTGTGGCCCCTCTAGCACTGGCTGGCTGAGTTGCAGCGTGGCCTTTGGGAAAACTGACTCCAGAGGGCAGGAGGCACCTGACCAGTCTCATACCGAAGCTACAGTCCCCTTCATGAGAGTCTAAGACCCTTGAGACTCCAATGGCAGGAGTCTGGCATCTGCTAGTAAACAAGCAAGGTCCTGGGAAGAGGGAAGACCTGAGGCCATCTTAGTCAGGTTTGAGGTCCAGACTTATGGTCAAGGTGTCAGAGCAAGGTGTGATTCCCAGCTGGGTTACTTCATTCGGTGGGTTCTCACTTTCCCTCAGTCTAGATGCTTTATGAAAGAAAGCATCTGTCTATTACTCGAGATGCTTACCTAAGTGAACACCCAGTCCTGGGGGCACCCTTCTTCCCAGATCCTGCTAATAGGTACTTGGTTCTCTCTCTGATCAGGACTCATGTTTGCTTTCCGCTGGTTGGCTCTGATCTGTCAGAAGGTCTGGTAATGTGCTTATCTCCCAGTCTGCCTACTGGTCTCTCCTGGCACAGCCCTAGCCAGAGGTCATCACCTTAACCCAGACTACTACAGTTGGGATGACTGGCCCAGGCTAGAGGCCATGGGTGGTCAGGCTCGG